ACTGCAACCGCGACCGCAACCGCAACCGCAATTTAAAACCCTAGAAATAAAGAAACTCAATAAGATACTTGGGGGTAAACTGAAGATTTTGTTGGCAAGGGTTTCAACTTTCAAACATAGAGAGATTGTCATTATTGGACCCTTTTTGAGTTATAGCTTGGACAAAGACCCTTGTAGGTCATCATACTAGGATGGTGCAAAACGAGCTTAAGTCTTGGAGGAGGTCAAACCACAATGTGATTTTGACATTACGGGTCATTCGTTGGAAGCACCCTAAAGTTGGACTCTCCAAGTAGAATGAAGAGATAATGAACCATTTAGAGTCAAGGGTTTCATGGTACTCAAAAAATTGGGTGATCATAAAGATCTGACTCGTGGGGTCGGTTCCATCAAATCTGATGACATCAAGTTTCATGCGAGGATGTTTATTGGTAGAGGTTTTGTTGTGATGCGACAAAAAGAGAAGATGAGGATTCAAGGTGAGCTATTTTTTACAGGATTTCATCAATTTTGGTGGTCATGTGGTTTTGGATATTAGTGAGGGAGAGCTGAGTGGCAATAAGCTTAAAAATGGTCTCTTCAATGCGACCCATATGGGTTTTGGAGAAAGTGATGTTAGCCATGGCTCGATAAAAGGACCAAATGTGTAACAATTTACTAGAATTCGAGGACTAGGGACCTCCTAGAAGGAACAAATGAGGGGAAAGATAATACCTTTTTTGTTTCCCCATTCATAATGCTTACATCTGGATAATGACATACATAATGCTTACATCTGGATAATGACATACCTAGATGAAAAAGTAAAATAACAAAATGTAAAATGACATATTGCAATCTAGCACCCAAATTCTTAAAATACCAAGCTAACTAATACTATAATGCCAACACAACATTCTTCATAACAAAATTGGTTAAACCTTTGTTGGACATAATCTTTTAGATACTTAGGTGGAATAATCTATCTTTTGAGTCTTTTGTGTAACACCTTAATTTTTCTAATAATATATTTATTTATTATTATTATTATTTTATAATTATTTGAGTTAGTATTAATAATTGTTTTAATTAATTATATATGTGTATAATGATGTTATAACTAAATAATTTATTTTTTTTAAGGGAAGGGTTGAGTAATTTGAGTTAATTGTTTTAACTGTTACGGTTAGTGAGGAGTTAAGTTTTTATGAAGAGAGTTGGGTTAGTTTTTAATTTCACACTTCTCATTTTTCCTTTACCATGGTTTATATTCTAAAGAGTTGAGAGAACCATAAATTGTAAGAGAATACCCTAGAGATCCATGTTCTTCATCAAGCGTTTATCGAAATAAAGGGAAGTGGGTAATCTCACTCTAGGAATGGGATGTATGTTGGAGAGTGAGATTAACCCCTAATTCCTTCTTTGTTGCATGTGTGTATAAAGGAAATTTTCCCAATTGTGTATCCTTTTTTTTGTGTTCCTCGTGATTCTTCGATGTTATATTTATGTTGCTAACATGTTCGTGACTTCAATTTCGTGTTTAAACTTGTATTGTTGAATTTTGGATTGTCTATAAGTTCTTGTGAAAGTCCTAAAAGACTATAATGGTTATTGTGTGAAGAGTTAGCATTGGTATGTAATTGGAATGTGAAATTAGTGTCTTTTGATGCTTAATATGCCTTTTTGAACATTTTTACCACTTGAATCGTGAATTGGATAATTGCTATATGTGGTTCATAAATTCTTTTTATGCTTAAGTCCTACATCGATTAGAGATAAGATAATTAAATAATATATAAGTGAGTAATAATTATCACCTGGCAGGTTCATTTTATAAGGTTGACTCCTAATTCATTATTCTAAATTGGTATCAAACTAGTGGAAAATTAGGATATTACGTCACCTATTTTACGTCGGAAATACAAACAACCGACGTAATAAAAACGCGGTGGCATGGTTCGTAATTTTAATGACTTTTTTACGTCGGACCTTTAAGGGATCGACGTAAATTTTAACATCTACGTCGGCCATACATCGTGTCCGACGTAGATGTTAAAATTTACGTCGGACCTTAAAGGGACCGACGTAAATAACCCACATCCTACTTAAAAGAAGGTGAGCGCGCATGGCTGGATTTCAAAAATATCTTTCTCCCGCGCGTTGTCTTCTTCTGTTTCTTCTTCTTCTATTTTCTATGAGGTAAGTTGCTTCTGTTTAGCTAAGGGATTGGTGAAACTTATTTTTAGAGTGATTATTTGAGGTTATGTTTATGACCAGTTTCAAGATTTTTTTTGTAATCAACAGAATCAAGCTAAGATAAAAGAGGAGAAGATGAAGAGTGACTGTCAGCAAGTAGCAGAAGAAGACAACGCGCCTGGGTTTATACATTGTGTCCTGGACGGCCCGTTCTCCAAGCAGAACGGGCAGTTCTGCCTGCACTCGTTTTTCTTTTTTTTAAAATTTTTTGACTTTTTTACGTCGGACCTTAGCATGTCCGACGTAAATTTACGTCGGTTTTTGCGCCCCGACGTAAATTTACGTCTCCCGCTTCTACGTCGGTAGCTTTTCTGACGTAAAAACCCCTAAAATAACCGACGTTAAAGGTGTATTGTGTACTAATTAAATCACCCATTATTACCAAATTCAATAGTGTTATAAAACAATTATAGAGCAACTTTCACCTTATAAATCTCACATTTCTTAAAATACAAGACAATTAAAAAAATAAATTAAAAAATATATAAATAAAAGACAACCTTCATCTTACAAATCACACATCGAGTAGAGATAAAAAAAAATATATAAGTTATGAATTTAGAAAAGGAAATTATAAGAATAAATTATTTAAAGTAAAGGAGACAATCGAAAAAAATAACTTTTAATAACCTTTAAAATGACTACTAGAATTGCCACTAAAGAAAATAAGTTTTTCCGACAATTTAGTAGATATTTACCAGCATTTTATATAAATGTCGGTAATAATATTAGCGGTACTGGATACACCAACCTTTATTTAAATGCTGGTAAAGAAAATAATGATCATTTATATGACTATTAAATAATAAATTAATTGTCATAAAAAATTCATTTTGGTGTAGTGTTATGTGCATGAAATAGAACTTGTGTAACATAACTCTCATGACTAGAACTTGATTGTATATTCTTCTAATATATATAAAGTGTGTTGAGAGTATGATCATGTATAGACTCCTAAATTACTCGGTATGTTGTCTTATGACAATACCCAAGAAGCTAATCGGGCTGCCAACTGCATGGCGGCGGCCTTATACCATGAGTCCAACTCTAATTTCTCTATTTTTAAGGTCCTTCATTTGAATGTGTTGCCTTTTTGTCGCTTGATGCTGCTGTAATAGTGTGGTTTGTTTTTCTTTCCACCTCAGGTGGCACTTTTAATCGGTAAAATACAAAAAAATAAATAAAATAAAATAAAAGACATGACGGGGAGAAAGCATAATGTAAAATATAATGACTGGCAGATGTATTTAACCGATATAACCGGACAATTATTTATGGCAAGGTAAAAATGTACTTGCTGCACCGTTTTGGTTTTTTTGTTTGCTCTAAACACATACATAGTGTATTTATCCATCCATCTATATATATATATACCTATTCTAATATATTTTATATTTTATTTAGAGGAAAAAATAATTAAAAAAATAGAAAAAAATAGGTGAGAATTGATTTGATAAGAAATAAATAAAAATAATAAAAATTTATAGTTATTTGGTAGACTGAAATTAGATGAAAAATAAAGAGAAATCGATATTTTAAGATTATATTTTATATAGTTAAATTTTTATGTAAAAATATATTATTTAGATAATTACATTTTTATACTTTAGTGACTAATTATTTAGAAAATAGTGTAGGATTAGTCTTGTTCAAACATTTTTTTTTTGTGAAAAATTCTATACAAATCCACCCATAAGAGAATAGAATAAAATTTACATGGATCCCGCCATAATTTCTTCACAAATCTACTTAAATCATCTCTTCCAAATACTTTTTTTTTAATTCCTTGATCGCTTCATTTCTTCTTCATTCTCTACTAAATCACCTCCTCTAAACATATCATAAGAGTAAATTTTAGTAGAGTTACTTCACTTAATAACTCATATTTTATATTAAATTTTAACAATTTAACTGTTAAAATAAAAATTATTTGATATTTTGTTTCATTAATTCAAGCTAATGAATAATTATAAAAATATTTTATATATTGATTTGAATTTATATAATGAAATATCATATGATTTTCAAATTTTTCTCATATACATACATAAATACATATATATATATATATATATTATTTAACTTCAGTAAAAAAAATCAAACCTAATGAAAATTAAGTAGAATTACTCTATTAAAAAAACTTAGGAATAGTATTTTGTTTAGTCTTTTTCAAATTATAAAACCTTATAATTAAACTAGAATTTTATTTAAGACAATATCTTACTATTTTGAATAATTATACTAGATTGTTATTTTTATTTTACTTTCATTTTAATTAAAAACTATTATTTAATATCATAAATTAATCAAAACATAAAGTTAACACGGATTAAGAAAATCATATATGAAAATATTATTTATTTAATGTTACTAACTTTGAAAGAAAAGGGGGAAAAAAAAAAGGATATCAGATTTGGACACAATAAGATTTAAAGGGTGTAGGCCAAATCTGACAGAAAAATATTTAGGATATCGCATTTGGACACAAAAACATTTAAAAGGTCCCGGCCAATCTAACACTACGTTTAGTGACACTATATTGAAACTAGCATCAAATGGTATCAGTCAGAGTTCATGCTACATATTTTAATATTGAAAAAAAATCTAAAACAACAGAATATACGTGCGAATATACGTGAAAATAATAAAATATAAGCCGGCGAGAAAGACTTGTACTACAGACAAAAATATTACTATAGACTTGTACTATATACGCACCAATTGGAAGCAATAGCTTACAGAACCAAATTAACTCGTTAATAATTTTCTCTCCCAAAAGAAATGGCGTGGAATATGGTGCTTTCAAAGGTTATGACTGTGCTGTGGCTACTCACAACAGTGGTGACACGAGCACAATCATATTCATATCTACGGCCACCCAAAGACCTAGCCTCAAAGTTTAGTCGTGACCCTAAAACCATTTCACTAGCCTCAAGCGATTTTGGGCAACTAGTTCACAAAACCCCAAAAGCAGTTTTTGAGCCATGTTCAGTTGATGATATCTCAGCCTTGATAAGCTTCTCAAACTCTCTTCCCACTCCTTTCACCATAGCCACTAGAGGCCAAGCTCACTCGGTTAGTGGACAAGCCTTGACACGAGATGGGGTGGTGCTAAACATGACTCACCTCAACTATGGTTTCTATGGGTCAAGAATTGTGGTTGCTTGTGATGGGAAGAGTGCATGGGGTTGTTATGCTGATGTGGGTGGTGAGCAGTTGTGGATTGATGTGTTGAATGCGACCCTTAAACATGGACTCAGTCCTTTGGCTTGGACTGATTATTTGTATTTGACGGTTGGGGGAACGCTCTCTAATGCTGGCATCAATGGTGGAGCCTTTCGGTTGGGACCACAGATCTCCAATGTTCTTGAATTGCATGTTGTTACAGGTATATATGATCAATATCTTAATATTGGACCCAACCCAACTGATTAAAGTACTCTTGAATAGTTTATTTGGTTCAATTGAGGTTGAAGTGATACTAACTACATAAATTTATGGGCAAAGCTCGGCTAGGCCTAAGTCTTTTTATGGGCTACTTAATTTATAACAATTTAAAACCAAAATGAAAGTGAAAATAAATAGTAATGTTTTATAAATGTTGATCACATACGTTGTTGTTGTTGTTTTTTTTTTTTTAAATCAAAGTATATATTTTTTAGTTAAAGTTAAGAACTAATCCTTCAAATTATATAGATTTGTTTAAAGAGTTTATCTCTGCAAATAAAGTTTTAGATGTACACCTATCAGAAATCAATCTTTTAATCATATATTTAAGAAATAAAATTATTTATCAATTAAATTACACATTATTGATGCTTATTTATATAATATAAACATGTTTTTAAGGTGTAATATGATATTCATGATAATAATTTTTTCAAAAATAATTTGTAATAGGATGGATTAACAAACTTTTTAAATTAGTCTTGAGACTAATCTAATTTCCAAAAAAAAAATGTTGGAGTCCAATGTAGTTTAGGACATAATTAAGCTTCCATTGGGGGTAGCTAACTTATTTTCATCCTTGGAAACAAGAAAAGTAGAGAGATAATAATTAATGATTGACATAATAAATTCTAAATGGATGAAACATTTGAATTTGTGAATTACTAAAAGCATTTCAATCTTCCAAGTTTACATATTTATACATTATTGATTTGAATAATTTAGAAATTTTATATGATGCAAAACTTTTATATTCAATCTTCTATTTAGTAATTTTGTATTATGTCAATTTAGTGCTGCAATGAGAAATATTATGCGTGAAACAAATCACAAAAGAAAGTTTTTCAAAAAATAGAGTGACAGCTGCGCGGGTCGGACTTAAAAAATTTCAATCTTCCAAGTTTAATTATAATATAAAAAATGTTATATATAGTAATTATAAAAAAAATTATCATTAAAAATATAATATATAGTTATAAATTTATTTAATATGCATTCACATATAATTTTAGTGTTTATTTTGAATAAAATTTAATAATATATTATATGTTATTATAATATATACATATATATTTTTAATAATATTTTAATATATATTATATTTATAATATGAGTAAAATAATTTTTAATGACAAATATGTATTCCTATAGAATGTGTCATTGCATAACAAATTTTTTTTATAGTGTTAATTATTGAATATCTTTATATATGCTTTTTTTTTCTTCATATAAACATAATTTTGATATTCGTATAAAAATGAAATTTTTTCTTAAATCTTTCCTGTTACTATTTGTACATGACATGTAAATTAATATTCTACTATTTTTTTCTCTCTAAATTGCAGTTGACAATGTGCATTTTTCCGCATATAAAGTCTGATACATATCTATATTTGTGGCTTTTATAGGGAAAGGAGAATTTGTGACTTGCTCTCCTGATAAAAACTCAGAAATATTTTATGCTGTTCTTGGAGGATTAGGTCAATTTGGAGTGATAACAAGGGCAAGAATACCTCTAAGACCTGCACCCACAAATGCAAGTATCATTTCCCCTTTCATAAATTTACAAAACTATTACATTACCGTTATTGTGTGACAAAATTTATAAAAAAAAATACGGCATAAGTAAAAAATCAGAAAGGATAAAACTTACATAAGCATAGTTTACTAATTAACACGACCCAAATCATAAGAGTGTTGTTACTGTTGTCACCTATTAGAATTAGACTTTTATTACAATAATATACATAATAAAACATATAGCATTTAATATTAACCCGTATTAATGATGTCCAATTAATTATGACTGAGAGAAACAACACCATAATACCTACATAATGAATCTAACAACTTAAAATCAAAATGAAACTTAGCCCTAAAAACACAACACCATTAAACGTGTACCCTACCAAGTGATTGAACCTGAAATAATTAATATCTAGCATTCACAAATATCCTCCACATCCCGCACGAGCTGAGAAATTTTTCAACATAATAATACAACAGCCACTAATGCATTTTTATCAATTGCTAGTGTATATAATCTCTTGAATATTGATCTTAAAGTGGCCCCCCAGTGTTTTAAAAGTTTATAACAATTTAATGAATAAACATTGTTTTTCACCTGTAATAATGAATGCATAACCACCATCGCTGAGAACATATATATGTTCTTTCAGCCTCCATCCACTCAATAGTTTGAACAAGAATCCATGAAAATATAGCTTTGACAATTATTCCCTCATTTGTCACCTAACATAGCCTAAAGACCAGGGATGATAACCCAGTTAATCCAAATGGATTAATCCAGATATGTAAATTCATCTCTAATTAACTTCAATTTTTCCAACACCCATAACTATAACAAGTAACATACATGCCATTTTTTGACTTGTAACGAAAAATTCATAGAATCCTAAACCCTAAATCCTAAACCTTAATATTTACTAAGATGTAGTTAATTAACTAACTAACTAACTTCAAAGTTATTCATTTATTTTGTTTTATTTTTAACAACAAAGGTTGTTTAAATTGCTTGCAGTCACGTCGGGTCCACTTGCTTTACAGTGATTTCACTGCATTTACTAGAGATCAAGAGTATATAATCTCGTTCAATGAAAGGAATGACAATAGTGCAGCAGATTTTTTAGAAGGTCATCTTCTGTTAACACAATTGGCACTGGAACTTTCCTTCTATCCTACTGCTGATAAACCAAGGATAACATCTCTTGTAACTAAACATGGCATTATCTACGTATTACAGCTTGTCAAATATTTTGACAAAAACTCTGAAGCACGCGTGAAGCAGGTATAGGTTTAAATAAATGATGTTTTTGTTATCTTGTTAGGTACCTCGTTTTATTTATTTATTTATTTTGAAAAGATAAAATGAATATAAAGAAAAAAAGAAAGATACTCTAATACTTATACGTTATTATATGATGATCAAATTGATCCTTCTGAATTGAAAATAATTTTGTTTCCATTACTCAAACTCATTCAAATCATTAGGAACCTTTGTTTTTATCAAATATTTAGTCATAAATTATTTCTTCTTCTTTTTTTTTTTTTTTAACTAAATTCGCCATCTTTTTTCTTGAGTAGGATATTGAAAATTTGATCAAAGGGTTTAATTACATACCTACATTTAAGTTCGCACAAGATGAAGTATACGTGGATTTTCTGCAAAGAGTTCATACTGCTGAGCTATTTATTGACCCACTTGGACTTTGGAATGTTCCTCATCCGTGGTTGAACGTCTTTGTTCCAAAATCTAGAATTGTAGAATTTAATGAAGGTGTATTCAGGGGCATTGTTGTTGAGCAAAATGTTACTTCACAAGCTGGACTTTATTTGGTCTACCCCATGAACAGAAACAAGTAAGTTAATTATATTCTTTAAATATAAGTGTACCAATTTATGATCTACATCCCTATAGATCTCCTTACATCTTCTTTCCGAGAATCAACTTTCCTAATTAAAATATGATGCAACACTAAAAGATCATTTAGAGAAAAAAAATTATTTTATTAAAAAAATTTCAAGTCACAAATCAAACAGATATGTGATCAATAAGTTAGAAATAATCTTTATCTTACAAATTAGTTTTATAGGATGAGTAAAGCCTAAATCCATATTTCTAAGATAGTTTGTCTGTCTTAGATCTATTGAAGTGGTAATAGGTGATTTTTGTTCCAAATAATTTGCAAACGTATTCACATGGCTTTTTTTTTTTTTTTTTTTTTTTTTTTTTTTTTT